TTTTCATAAATATACTGAGAGGCCAAAGTTAATATATTTATTTCTTTAAAATTTTCGCTAAGAGACTCTCTCGGTTTATGGTTGTAAATAGCTCTTATGACCCGGCCCTCTTCTGCAACACAAAAATAGTTTCTAAATCAGCCGCATTTCCCCATAGCAAAATCCTATAAGACATTATGCTATGGAAATAACTGAAATAAACTAATCTAGCAGTCTCGACACTAGTGAGATTTCTGATCTTTTTTACAGCATAAGCTGCAGAGCTTAGTCTGCTTACTAGTTTGGATATATGGGGGCTCCACTGAAGCTTCGTATCGAGAGTGATGCCAAGAAAAACAGAGGATTCAACAGGGCTCAGTTCTTCCCCCATTTGAAACATATTGGTATTCAGATTTTTAACATTCGTTGTTGTAAATTTAATAGATTTAGTTTTATTGCCGTTTAAATGCAGATTATTAGCGTTAAACCAATGCACTAATTTTGATATAGCATTATTCATTTCGTCACATTTAAATGATAGACGTTTAACTTTAAAAATCAAGGAAGTATCATCAGCAAATAATACTATATCATGATTATCCCCTACAAGGGAAGATAAGTCATTAATATATACTAAAAATAGGAATGGGCCAGAAATCGAGCCCTGAGGGACACCCATCGTTACGGACGACCCGGAAGAACTTTTACCATTGATAATAACTTTCTGCATTCTATTTCTTAAATATGAAATAATAAGTTTAAGCGCTGTGTTCTTGACACCATAGCTTAGCTTCCTGATTAATTTCTAAAGGTGAACACAGTCGAAGGCCTTGGAAAGGTCACAAAATACACCCAAAGCATAATCTGAATTCTCCCATGCACAAAAAATGTGTTTTATAAGTTCGACTCCGGCGTCGGTAGTCGAGCGTCCCCTTGCAGAGTAAGAGATTTGTTACAAATTACTTTTTTATGAATTTGTTTTTCCATCAAACTCTTTGGTGGCTTGGAGTAACTATAATTATCAAACTTATTATGTAGGATTGAAATAAAAATGTATACTTAGTATGTATCACTTGCTTATTAAATTTTTGGTTTTAATCTTAGTTATAGTAAGTACCTCTATTTAATAACAAAACTAGCTATATAGCAGTTTTCACGAAACAATATTAGTATAGTTTTAAGATGAAGTATAAAAGTATGTAAGTGTGGAAGTTAACCACTCTATATTGATCATAATTAATCAAAATGATAAAAACATTTAATTACATAACTTAGCTATAATAAAATTCTAAATAATAAATGGTTTTGGTTGTAGCTAAATACTCTTTGAAACACAACGCGCGCACAACGTACGAATCGCAATCTTTCTCTTTTGCTGGCGTACTTGATCCATTCATGTACAGCGGCCCAAACTCGAGTTAGGGAGATCCAACTCGAGTTAGCTCGAGTTAGTAACTCGAGTTAACCCTTCACTAGTTACGCATGTTTGATTGTGTTTTGATATGGAGGTGGGCAAAGTGTATCATTTTTGGGATTGGAACATTTGCATCTTGATCACTGAAATGTTCCGAAACACTGATATGTTTCTTTTAGCTCATTTGTATCATCGACTCAAAAGATATAAAAGAAAGAATGTTCCGAATACATTAAGTAATAATATAAGTGCTTAGATTATTTATTGTGTACCGTAATAAGATTGTATATAAAATCGATTCTCCTTCATACTTTAACAAAAATGTCACTATGTCAATTTATTATTTACAAAAATGTCCATTTACACAAAACAGCAATGTCTATGTACACAGAATTTACTCGTAAAGTATCGTAACTCTAAACTTTATGATGAAAAGGAAGAAATAGTCACAATAATCACTACGCAAAGAAATCCTAAACATAACTCAGTGTTTTCGTAAACAGGCGCTAATGAATATAAACAATTTGACAAGTGCATCAACGTAAAATGACAATTTGTTAATGCAAACGTTACATACAAAAAACGACCGTATAGTATTTGACACATAAGCGCCTTAGTGGTAATTTTTACGTGCATGAATAACATCAGTGAAAATCCGTACGAGTTGCGTGATACACTTCTTATTTGTTATCTCTATCTGACTTGTGTGAATTATAATTATTTCGCCCGCTCACTCGCCACTCGTGAGTCAATAGTTAAGTTAATCATTGTCTCAGTCTCTCTCTCTCGCTCGTGGCTCAGTCGCCTCGCAAGCGACGCGTCGCGCGAAATGAGCAAAGAGCAAAGTAATGTTTCACTGTTCCAGATACAAATGATACATTTGAAACGTTGTTACTGAGCCAATCTTTTGTGTCACTTCAGTGATTCGTATCAGTGAGTCGTTTCCGTAAAGAGATACACACGCCTATTTTGATACGTAGTATCCACTAAGTAGTCTGTGGTGTTTTGTGGTTTTGGTTTGTGGTGAGAAGAGAGCTCTAAACTGGTTGAGTTCTACTTTTAAGATGCTGTTTCAACGTTTTTTTAATACATTTACCATTATTGTAAGTTTACTTTACTCTATTCCTATGTACGTTACATTTATTTATCTATAATTTAATTATCAGCTCAAAATTCAACTACGATACTTTTTAGTTTTCTTTTACATGATACGTATTACGTACATGAATATATTCTCTGAGATCTGCTTGTTACTAACTACAAATTTGTGTTTTTGTTTATTAAGTATTTTACTTCTTAAATTTAGTTTTTAAACTGCAAACGAAGCTTTATAATTAAATATCAAAGAGTAATTTGTAATCACTATGTTATGCTATGGTAAATTCAGTAATCATTACGTTTATGTTTAGGCAGGACCGTCTGAACATATTCCATAAGATACAAAAAGCATAAAGGCTTTTAGAAAATAAATAACATAGGTAACTAAAAACATCTAATATAATATGTACCTTCATTGAATGACAAAATGGATAGCTTTTTAAATAACATGCAAACAACAAATGTGTTTTAATTGACGAACTGAAGGTAATAGTTGATGCAGATACATCACAAATTATGGCTTGGCTTGCATCGGCTTTTGATGTAAGTGTCAAGAAATATTGGATCATTTGTGGCTAATCAGTACAATAAAAAACTTGACAAATTACCTGTATAACGCACAACAAAATGTCTGTACCCAAGCTTAAATCATATGACTAAACTGCATAGAAAATAGGGAATTCTGAATTAAATTGTTACTTGCCATGAGAAGTGAATATAATATGACAACTGTAAGCATTCATTACAGTAATTAGATTAAGGTGCTTAAGCCAAACAGTACTAAAACTACAGATTAGACACAAGGAGCTCATGTCACAGTTGGGTTGTCTACTGTCAGTGTTATTCACTAAAGCTTCTTGCCATCTGGTGCCACAGTTACTGCTAACCATTATTATCAAGATTTGCAAATGATGAAGCTGGCACTCGAACAATCCAGACTGGTAAACTGCTATTTGCCATTGCTTCTGCATAACAATGCTGTGTCACATACTACAATGGCAAAATTAGCAGAGCCAAAGCTAGATACCCATGTCTAAATGCATATTTTACATGCAAAATACACACTTAGAGGAAGAGTTGTGGAATCTAGTTCAACTCTGTCAAATCAATCAAGCTAGAGACTGCACCAAGACTGGAAGAATACTCCATCAGTCTTTGTCCCCCACATACTTCCCATTTTAGGAAGCTTAGAAAACTGCCCATAAAATCATAAGATGGTATAAATGTGGTAATAGTTTGAAACATGACTAAATATTTTGGTTAATAATTTAGTTAGTTAAATATAATTTATCAATACATTTTATACATTTAATTAAATTTAATTCAATATTAAATTTAATAATATATATATTTAATATTATTAAATACTTTCATTTCAACCTTTTGGGACTCCGGTAAAATAAGGGTCTTGGCTCTATGTTCCCTTATTGTAAATACTGAACTATTCATATGGAGATATTTTTTTTTTGCACCCAGAAGCAATGAAAAGGGCTACCCTCTGGGAAGCGGGGGAGGGAGGTGATGAATGCTCTAAGCATACCACAACAGCCGGCTCCGTGGTTATGAGGGTACTCACTGTGAAAACTAAGTGCCTACCCACTAAACACCACCTGTGAGACTGGCATTGGCTTGTGTGGCCTTTCTGCCGAATCAGAAGCGACCCTCCTTAGGGAAAAGGTGGTGCAGAAATATTATGTACTAACATACTTTAGTACATAATAGTTCAATGAATGTTCATAGATATTTACAATTACAGTGGAACTGTCATGGTCTTTGTTTTTTACATTTGATTTGATTTCTAAATACTTATTAAAAATTCTAATTCAAATTCAAATTAATTTATTTCAGATAACATAGGATCCATATCATTGAAAAACATTGATTAATTGATAATAAAAATAATAATATGTCATTAAAATACATTAAAATACAATTAAAATACATTGATATAATTCTAATGATTATTGTTAAAATTTAGTGATTATATTATACTCTTTGATTATAGAATAAGAAAATTTCTATCCTAGGTATTACACAATGTTTTTTTATATTTATTTTGACAAATAAACAACCATATAAGTAACATACTTTACTCATATAATATATTGTTTTGTTTATACAACCACATTTTATGTTAAGTAAGTTATAATAGAAAAATCTTTATATTTCATGGTGTAATCTTATATTTGTATTTCCAGATGGCCACTTCATTACTTTCTAAAAAGTCTGCCGAGTCCCAAACAGTGTCTTGAGCATAAGATTTTATTAAATCTAATTTTAATTTTCCTATAAGTAAATTTAATAGCATAGATTTCAGTAATATTCCTTAATGTTGGTATCAAATTTTGTCTTATCATTTCTGCTCAAGATAAAGTTTATTTAATATACAGTTCAGTACAACATTTTGTCTCAGTGAGACAGGCAATTTTTGCCATTATAATTATTAAAGTTGCAAACCAGTCTTATTCTATAATTTTATATTCAAGTACAAAATTTCCACAATATTAAAATGGCATCAAGTGACCCCAAACTTAAGGATGGGCTGACTCTACCAGTTTGGATGAAGTCCAGACCAGCCAAGTAAGTGTTGTTTGTTTAAAAATTATAGTTTGAAATGTGTTATTGTGGTGAGCCTTTATTTACTTTAGTTAAGGAGAAGTGTTTGTAAGTGTTTGTTTGATTAAGGGATTACCTGACAATTGATTGATGGCAAGTATGTAATTTCGTTTTACATCTAGCCATTTGACTTTTCCAAACTTTTCCAAAAAAAAAAAAACTGTCAAAATACATGACTGGCGCATTGCTTGAAATAAATAAATTCTTTCCAAATTTAAAATTACATCAATATCATTATTCTGATAACAGTTCACTTCTAGATATGAACCACTTGATTATTACTTAATTATTAAACTTGATTATTCTTTAATTTAGAAAGGTATTTGAGTTTTCTCAATTTGCTTAAAAAGTTTAATTCAGTAATAGCTATAATCCAAACTAACTGATATTTTTTTTATATTATAAATTTCTCTTTTTCATGTATACATAATATATCTGTTATGAATATGTGACTGACTTCTCTCTTTATCCGATAGGGTTGCCCACTTTTTGCACAATAATTAAAGTTAATTAAGGTCGGGGAACAAAAATAAACAGTATTTTATTTTTTACATATTTTTGGAGCTTTTTGCACACAATATTTGTAAGCCTTTTGACAATTTAAGTAGAAATTAAAGTAAAAGAGAAGCAATTTTTTTTTATTAAATTAATAGAAACTCTATTTCAGTTTTTATGACTCCGGATACGAGCGATTATAAACATAATATTTTGTATTTTTTTTAATACAACTGTAAACAGTATTAAAGAGATAATGGGTATATTATTGATTACTTTATAGAGAAATAAAGTATATTACTGTTTTCAACAGTATGGTTGGCAACCCTATTACCAGACTATATAAACCCTATAGCAATCTAAAATATAGATTTACTATAATAGTGCTATAAAATAATTATGCTATGCAGCTAAGAATCATTCAGTCAATCATCAGTAAGAAGATATTTGCTTTGGTATTTTCAAATGTTTATGTCGTCATTGTCAGTCACCAGAGCATTGTTAGCAATTAGTAGGTAGCATATGCAAGTAAAGTTGGTATTTGGAAAAAAAGTTATTATATCGCAATAACTACATACTGTAAATTAGCTTATTTAAAAATTATTTTAAAATCTTTTAAATCAACATTCAATTCAATAGTAGTGCCTGCATTGCTGTCCAGTCTGAAGGTTATAGAGATTAGAGAGCATCAATTAGTGAATTAAAAAAAGGGTAAAATAAAATTTAACAAGTTTAAAAAAAAAGCTACACAACATCTTTCAGTATTGCGGAGAAAGATGATATTACAAGTCGTTTGGATGAGAAGTACATTGAAAAATAGTTTCTTGGATGTGACGGAACTCATTTGAAAACTTACCGTTTATCATAAGTTTTTTTAAAACGGGAAATGTAAAGCGCATAGCTTAGATCAGATGGTGTATCAACAAATAAATATTGCCCATATTGATATATCGGCTAATCCAAAATATTACTAATTGATATATTGGTATCGGTAGCGTTATCGGATGTGTCCCTATTACCAGGTCGTCACTTAATCGAGTGGGGATGAGGGGGGGACAGCTGCCCTACAACTTTGCTCGACTGCCATGGAGGACCTTTTTTCCACATCGGTTGTCGGTACTTCTCGCTAGCCCATTGCTACTTCAGCTTTATCAGTAAACTTGGATGATTGTGACGGCTACTTTGGTTCAAATGTGTAGAAATTCATTTCTGGTTATACACACTTGTTATCAAGTTTTTAGAAAAATGTGTCGAGAAGATGAGTTTGTAATCTCCCGAACATTACCCAGCTGAGTTGGATCCATCGATTAACTTTTTGGTAGAAGTTGGACTTACACAGACAGGTAATTTATCCTAGGTAAACATGCTCGTCAAAAACTTCGTATGTAGTGTTTCCAATAATTACCAGGATAGATGTGATGACATGGACGTTACACCTTTTTTTTATAGGATAAGAGTGACAAACGAGCACACAGTCCACCTGATGGTAAGTGGTTGCTCCGACCCACTACATCTTCCTCGATTACAAATCAAAATGCAGATGCGTCGTCACCCGTGAGGACTAAGATGGAATGCATAGTTTCCAGTAAAAAGGGTCTCCGGTTCTCAACACTCACCATAGGAACCACATCAGCATTAAGCTGCTATTTTACGCTGGTATTCTGTGAGAGCGTGGTCCTTCCCCGGCCGAGCCGACCCATTCGCGCTACAACTATACTACTAATATAGCTGCAGCATGGCGTAAAACATGACTCTACCACGTAAAATGACCTTTGTCTTGCCCATGTTCACCATAAGACCTATCCGCTGGGAGACTATTGATGTTGATGTGGTATCTTTCTAGTCCATTACCTTGAAAACGAGTTTCGGTGATATAACGTCACCCTGTCTTACATCTCTCTCTCTACAGTTGGATATGTAGACTTCGTATTTTGTTTCTGTACTCTGATAACCATCGTCGTATTTCTAATGTACGAACATTTCAACACTTTAATGTACCAACAGTCAACCTGGCACCGTTGAAGGTACTATAGTACCGTCCTAATTTCGTCCTAATCAAAGGCTTTCTCGTAGTTCACATACAATAATATGGTTAATGCAACAAAATTACACGACGTAGGAGTAAATAAATAAATAATTATCATCGCTCTTATTTCTTACTTGTTATAAATAATGAAAATTTCGATTTGTTACAATGTGCATCCGGAAATCGTTAAGTATTAATCGAAGTGAGTGTCAGTCAAGATTAGCTTCAGTTTCATGGCACTTGGTACTGCTGGTACTTAGTCTTCTTACTAGTTCAAATATATATGGTGGCCCACTAAAGTTTCTTCATTTGAAAACACATGATGTCTCTATCCCTTAGTCCAAGTGACTGTGACACCTTAAAATTGAGTAGCGTATGAGTATTTGGGCAATAGGTATTCAGAATTTTGACATTTGTTAAGTTTTATTGCCGTTTAAATGTAGATTATTAACGTTAAACCAATGCACTAATCTATAATTATACGTACGTAATACGTACCTACGTGCGTTTTCCACATATAAGTACTGCGTATCACATAACGTATAAATGGAAAACGCACGCATATGGCGGATTTAGGCAGTGTTGCGGAAACAAGCCCAGTGCAACCAATCAATCGAAAGCGAAGACACCGTTTTCTTTGCATTCTAAATGATTTTCGTATGTGAAGAATTCTAAGAGATAGTTACTACATGTCTTAAATCACTATACAAGGTCGACCTTCTTTGCTTGAAGGAATGTAGGTGTGTGTACTTTAGTATGTAGCAATCAGTAACTAAATTATTTTGAAAGTATAGTTTAGCCGCGTCTCGCTTCCACATAATGTACCTTCTGCTATGATCTATATTTAATTAGAGAGCTGCATTTGCAATGTAGATTGAAAAACGGAGAGTGGTGTAATATTAAATTTTATCTCGGCATTTTAGCATTAATTTATGAATATTTGGCGCATTGGTGAACGTAGTGTTATTTTAACACTTGAAAAAACTGACATATTTTGATATTATTAGCAATGTTATCTACACATCCATTATCGTGATTCATGATATCTACATTGTAAAATTGTAGTTGTGATGAGTTTTTAGGATTTGCATTTGAGGGGAATGTACGTCATCGGCGTTCAATGTCAATCTTAGATTAATAACATACATATGTACGTATGCATAGAGAGAACCTACTACTCTACATAAATTGAGTCAATATACTTGTCTCGCTTTTTGTAATTTAATTTTCAAATAAGGCATATCTAATGACAACTTATTGAAAGATGTTGCGTGTATTTATGCGTAGAACTTTAATAACAACTTGTCATCTTTGGTGTCTTTATACTATGCCAATTATGAGAGTAAGTACACTTGTTTCTTCTGATTTAATTAATAGTTTAGTAGTAGTATTAAGTGTGAGGTTATTTCACAAGCCATGATGTCTTTAATCTTGATTTCGTAAGCTATGTTAGTGACAATCGACAGCAATATAATCTTTATTTTTTAGTTTTAGTTCAATTATTAATTTTATTACTTTTTATATCTTTAAAATATAAAGAAAATAGGACTAGACTTATTATATTTGTGCGACCAAATAAATTGTTTTGTAAATCAAGTGATGATGGTTATATTACATTGCAAATATTCGTTTGTCGCAAACTTTAAAAACGAACAAATAGTGAGGTATGAATACTAAGTCTTGACAGTCACACGGTACAAAAGTTATTGGTTCCCATTTGTAATCTCATCAAAAATAAAAACCCCTAAAATAAAATCATCAAGAAAGCTATATCTGCTTGGATGAAAATATTTCGAAATTTTGAAGTCAAAGCAGGATCTTGATAGAGCCGTGTAGATTCGTCGTAAGAGAATCTACTACTTCCTACCAAAGAATTTATATTATTACTTAAAATCTCTAAGACCCCATCGTAGCATTCTGTAAAAGATGACAAAAGGAAATGCAATAGGCAGCAGTGTCTTCCTGACAACTGATCAAAAAAATTATTAAAAACCTGCGGTTGCCAACCCAATTGCTAAGAGAGGGAACTATGGCAAATATTTCCTCTATGATGCATGTAACGTAAATACCTATGTTAACCCATAATAAGTCTAGGGATAATTTGGCAGAAATATACTGGCTTAATTTAAGTAGATTTCATAGAGACCTTTTCACAATATAGGTATTTTAAATTATACCACGATCGTCACGATATTGCAAAATTCTGCATTATTTGACTATGTTTTTGTTGTAAGATGTCAGATGAAGCTTCTATGAACGTTCGATGATATAAATAAGTATTATTCGAACCGGATTAATCGAAATTCTTAATTTTAATGAGTCATAGACAAAAGTAATAAATAATGGCACATCAATTGAGGTGTATATCGAATGGAAAAACGGTAACAAGGTTGTTAAAAGAAAGAAGGTGAGAATAATATAGCTATCTTATTTTGTATCACGC